GTGAAGAAAGCCTGCTTTCGGGGGGGGGGGGGGGGGGGTCCTTAAATGTCAGTAAACCAGTTATAACATTGTGGAGATACACTAGAAAACCTTATTCTATTAAAATTTGTTAATACATTATATACAGAATTGAAACTCGAAAGTCAACTTCAAGTTCAGAAAGTTCTGTCGTAGATCTTGTTGTTAATGCCGATCAGTGAGTTTTTCTGTTGCCAGAGCACTTTGAAGCCCATTATCCTCAATCACTATACAAACATACCTTATGATCAGTGGCATTTCTTCTCTCGTTGCTATGAGAGAGAAAGCCATAAAATCTCAACTTAATACTTACACTTAATATACTTTTCTTCGAAAAACATAATACGAGTTTCATAAAAAATTATCTTACTTGACAAGCATAACATTGCACAAGAGAAGTTTCATCATAAACAGAACCACATCGACAATGAACAATACAATCATTCGTTGAAATATTTTTTGTTGTTCGACTTGTATTTGTTGTATTAGTCAGAACTGTTTTATAAACAATTGATGTATTATTATCTATCGTATAAATAATATTATAAAGAATTTCTCGAATTTGTCCATCGAAAATTTCTTTTTGATGTAAACGTGTTATAAAATCTTGAAGAATATTTAAATTACGTTGATTTTTATCTTTATTATTCATATTATTAAATAAATTAAGTGTTGATTGATAACTAATTTTTAAAATATTTCTAAAATATATTTCTAATTCTTTTACAGCTCGTCCAACATCTGAATCTTCACCACAATAAGTCTATGAAAAACAAAGAAAAAAAGAAGGAATTTTGATTTTCAAAAAAAAAAAAAACAAACATCTACATACAATAGCATTATTAAATAATAATAATAAATCTTGTTCAAATAAATCATATGATAAATATTCACCATTATCTAATTTATTACGTATAATTGTTAAATCAATTGGTTTTAATATTAATTCATAATACATAGGAAATAAACGTTTTAATGGACATTTTTTTAATGCATTTGATGGATAAATATCACTATAATGACATTTATAATTTAATAATAAATCAAATATTTCATTAAGTATTAAAGTTAATTGTGCTAATTGAGCATAATAACATGTTTGATCAATAACTTCTATTGAACATTGACCAGTTTTATAAAAATGTGAACGACGAATATGATTGTAAAATAAATTTAATAGATCTATATAAATAAAATATTATACATTTACATGATATTGTTTTTATCAATATGATAAAGATTAGCTTGAAGTTAAGTGAAAGAGGATTTATTAAATATATCTGTTCGTAATACTAAACACATTGTAATTGTATTACAAGAAAGTCACAGTTGTGAAACATCTCATCCTTGCTCTTCATTTTTATTCCTTCCGTATTACATTAAAAGGCACAATATGATTCAAAATAATATCTCAAAACAAAAATACGCCTTAAAAACTATACACGATGTAGCTGCTGTTACTTGTCATAAAGATAATTGTTTTATTCTATATATCTAAGGATACATTTCTTCACCATTCTTCTTCAGAAATGTATTAAGGAATTCGCTCGTGTACTAAAATAACATTATTGATATACGATCTTTGATCGTATATCAACAACATCTGTCACTATCTCATGAATCCAAACTTTTATATGTTTACTTCGAATGTAGAATTTATGAGAAGCCGTTAGTGTTTATATGACGCATTTGATAGTTAGAAGCTGGTGTAACGATGTTGAATATAGAACTGTCATTGATTTGTTAGGAGTATATATAACATTCAATGGGTGATTTTGTTCGATTTGCATTAAATCGATAAACATATGGTAAAGCTGTATTAACTTAGCTATAATTTATTATTCAACTCTCGTTGGTATGAACTGCAGGTATCAAAGGGTTCATTGTATTCAGATTAGAGATGTTCGAAATGAGTTTTAGTTGTAGTTTTGGTCACCAGGACCGGAACTAAAAATTGTAGTTAAATATTCTATAATTTTTATTGAATTATGTTATAAATCACATAAATCAAAGATGCAATGCGAAAATTACATCTGAAATAGTTTTCTCTAAACGAGGATCAACAATTTTGTTTCACATATGTCTAATCATAACTGATGAATTTGCACGTGTATATAAATAATTACCTTTATGAGATAATTTTGAATTATCTATTGAATTGTTTGTTTCTTTTATTATATTTGAATGATAATAATTTTGTGAATAGAAAAGAGGTAATGGTTGTTCTTCTACATGTTGTTTATGTTGATTACTATTTTTATCTTTTAATTCTTGTTTTTCTTTTAGACGTCGAAGATTACGTTTTAGAAAAATTGATGACTGTAAAATAATTTGTTTTTCATGTTCTGTTAATTCTTCAATTTTTATTAAACTTTTGTTTATATTTATAATTTTATGTTGTTTTTTATCATTAATTTTAGACGATAAAAGTTTTTGTTCAATAGTTGTCTCTATAGTTTTTTTATTAGGCAATGGTTGTTGTTGTTTTTGTTTTGGTTGATTTATTTTTTTCTTTTTCTGTTGATTAGTAGACTTCACTGACAACGAAGGTAAATTAATTGTTGTTGGTTGTTTTCGACTAAACCAATAGATATCAAATGGAAGTTGATAATCAATATAAGATAAATTCTCATCATCAGATTCAAATATTCCCTTATAAAATGGTGGTAATGAACCTGATAATTGTTGTCGTCGACGAACTGCTCGATTTTTACTACAAAAAAAAAAAATTCTTATTGTTTTCTTTGGTGGAAAAGAAGTTGTCTTAAATACAAACCTAGTAGATTTAATATCACTGTCAGTTGTTACTTTATAATAATTTGAACGAAGACCATTCTTAATAAAACTTGGTTTTGGTAATTCATCAGGTAATACATCTTCATCACTAGAATATCGATAAATAGTTTAGATTAATATTCATATAAAATTTGTATTTAGTTTGCAAACATATGAAATTAAACTAATTATTTTTACCATTCTGAGTATTATCGATGTTGACTTTAAAAATATTTTTTTCTAGATTTTAGAATGTACTAGTAAGAGTTTATGATAAGCTGTTTAATGTAAAGATAACGTGATATATTAGAAATTCTAAAGGAAAACAAACAGAATATATCTCGATATCGATTAATGAACAACTTGTTTAAATAGAATACCAAGTTAAGTTATAATATTTTAGTATATAAACAATCATAACACAATCTCTAATAAAGATAAAATATATTTTTTTTTGTAAAGTAGATTTTGCATGTCATGCTTTTGAGAAAGTTAAAATTATTTTCTTTTTGTTACCTAACCGTTTAATATAAAATCGAGTCGGCTCATGCAAAATCTACTTTACAAAAAAAAATATATTTTATCTTTATTAGAGATTGTGTTATGATTGTTTATAT